CAAGTGTGAATTCGCAGAGCACCACTCGAAGAAAGATGGTCACAGGTATGTAACCTACCAATAATCAAGCTGGGGTCAATCAAAGTCCTACTGAGAGTAGCAGTTAATAACTTGGGTTTTCTACTTTATGATAAGCAAAGTACAAGATTTCTGGGCAACTGATGTGAAATGACTGATTTATGGCATCACTGTCTAAAATGTAAAACATGGCAATAAATTTTAACGTACCTGACTTGCCCTTATGTTAACATTGCCTTCTCTCAAAAGCTTTGTAACCACTTCCATTTCTTCATCAGTCTCAGCTGATGCTAGAGGTGTAATCATTACTGCTGTATAACCAGCTTTATTCTGATGGTCCACATCACAGACACCTACAGAAGAAACACAACTGTCATAAATGTCTAACATGAATTATTCACTTTGTTTTCACCATCTATTGTTCTGGATAAATATTAATTGAACTCATTTCTATGTTTTGTTTGTGTTGTTTTAGGTCTTTCAGGCTGTATGGCCATGTTAGAAGCATTCTCTGATGTTTCGCCTGCATCTGTGGCAGGCATCCTCAGAGGTAAACCAACTCTCAGTGTGGTATTCTGGAATTTTTTATTCAATCATTTTAAATATTTGCATCTTTTTTGGACCTAAAATTGTTGCATGCTTAATAAATGATAGTGTTAGCATGTTTTAGGCTTTAATGTGCACTGGCAAGCATTTCAGTCTGAAGCAATATTTGGAACCTAACCCAAGTTATTACCAGGTACACCTGGATGGAAGACAAGTTTCATTCAGTACCTATTATAATACCACTTCCCCAACTAAGGCTGAATTTGGAGTCCCTGGCAAAACTGAGATGGGATAAAAAAAAATGGCACATCAAAATTCCTGCAGATAGTGAGGACTTCTTTTTGTTCCTAGCACAACATAAGCTACAGTTTTTGAGATCAGTAGAAAAGTTTGAGAAACTATGCAGGTTTGATTTTACACGGATGATATAGCTTGTGATACAGGTAAACACAACTACAATACTACTTAGGAGGAAGTAGGGGAATGCATATTGTGTGGGATCTTGAGTTAGTTATACTTTGAGCGAAACCACTGAAATATCTGCTGTAGCTCACTCTAACTAGGGCTAAGGATATTGTCACATTGTCTTTGGGAAGTGTCCTAGGATATTTCCAGGATGCTTCCTCAATGAAGCCCATCATATGATGCAAGGCTACTTCTGGCAGGGCTCTATACAGAAAGTATACTGGCAACTTCCTAGGGTGCTGCCCAGAGAACACAGGCTTCTAGTGATCTCATTAGACAGAACGGGTGGCAACACTTTCCCCCGTGTGATAGGCAAAGTGACACAGTGGGCAATGCGGGGTTTATTTATTTATCGTGTCATCAGCAACCATACCATTGTATTACAATTCTAACAGAGCAAAACAAACACACAGATTAAAAAGAAAAAGAAAAAAAACACAGATTTTGAAAACTTGGTAGTTGGTTAAATGTCCTTTGACCAGTGTCTGGCCACTTGGAGTGCCTCTGGTGTTGCTGCAAGAAGGTCCTCCATTGTGCATGTGGCAGGGCTCAGGGTGCATTGCAGCAGGTGGTCAGTGGTTTGTTCTTCTCCGCACTCACATGCTGAGGATTCCACCCTGTAGCCCCATTTCTTAAGATTGGTTCTGCATCTCGTGGTGCCAGAGCGCAGTCTGTTCAGCGCCTTCCAAGTCGCCCAGTCTTCTGAGTGCCCAGGGGGGAGTCTCTCATCTGGTATCACCCATGGATTGAGGTGCTGGGTTTGGGCCTGCCACTTTTGGACTCTTGCTTGCTGGGGTGTTCCAGCGAGTGTCTTTGTAGATCTAAGAAAACTATGTCTTGATTTAAGTCGTTGACGTGCTGGCTGATACCCAAACAGGGGATGAGCTGGTGCAGGACAATGCGGGGTGCAGGACAATGGTTTCCCCTGCTGCCCCACAGATTTGCCACACTGCCTGGCAAATCTCCCCACTGTTGCCTGGCTTCAGGACCTCAATGTGATGTGGAGGGTTTCGTCTTCTTATGTTGCTTTGGTGACAATAATGGTAAAGAAAATGTAGGAAAGAGGCAGAAGGATGAGATAAGTGGCAGAGCACATACTTCTCACATATTGCAGCCCTTGATTTAACCTCTGACTTCTCCAAACAAAAGATCTCAAGTAACAGGGTTGAGAATGACCTCTCCTTGGAGAATTGCAGCCAGCCAGAGTCAAGCATCATTTCTAGCACTCCAAAGCAAGTTACTGTTTTCCATCTTTCATAGACTTGAAATGAATGAGCATTTAAACTCAATGCATAGCTTTGAATATGATTGCCTGAGGCATCAATTAAGCGAACAAAACAACTTTGTCTCAGAGTTCTGGACTAGCTTGGAAGTCTTCGTGCAACAACTGATTTATAGACATATATGATAATATGCCATTTTCCTAACATTTTATAGGTTGGCGAGCCAGCCAGGAAGTGAAAGAACTCCTTTGTTCTTGCTGGAAAATACATGCATGTTTGCTGGATAAAAATCTCACAGGACATTTTACTCTTTCACATCTGACCTAACAGGCCAATCGTTTAGAAAGCAGTTCTTTTTAGGCTTTTAAAGCCTTCCAAATCTGTTCTTGATTATAATGGACAGTCAAGTACAGAATGGAACAAGTTTATAATCAACCAGATGTGTATTTGAAAGTATGCATGCTGCATTTGAAAGTAAGTTTTCTACATAGATATGCATATGCATACTAAATACATAAAATCTTAAGACATATATACTGAGGCTGTGAAACAGTTTTGACTGGACACTGCATAATGAAGCAAATTGACAATAGTGTCAGCAGGGTTGGTGTGGTAACTCATGATGTCACACCCAAGGTTCTCTTATTCCAGACTGTAACACAGTATTGCAACTAAAACACCAGAAAATTTGACAAAATTGGCAACTATAAAAAACGAGCAGCAATTAAAACAACAGCACATACTTGTATAATGTCCAGATGGACCCATGTGATTTGCACTATAATTGTAATTGGGTATAATGAGAGCTGTGACAGTATGCAAATGTTCAAAAAGTAAAGAGTTTTAGACTTGTAGGTGTATTGAAATATTTTTGTGGTTATATCTAACTATAAGGATTTTTAAAATACAAAATAATGCATGTCTTCTAAAACCCTGAAAAAGAAATATATTCATTTTGGTATCATTATTTATTTATGTGTTTATTTTCCATATTTATACCCCACCCTTCTCACCCGAGAGGTGAGTCAAGGCAGCCTTACAACAGGCAGCAATTTGATGCCATACACACATATATTTGAAAAAAAAATAAACAATTGCAATTAAAACCAAATATTTAAAACATCAATTATTAAACATCAATTAAAATCATGCCATCCAAATCATAATCTAGGGCCATTCCATTTGTCAATTACATTGATTCATGATCACTTATTGCACTGCTCCTATTACTTATCAAAAGCTTGGTCGCAAAGCGACATCTTAAGTTTTTTCCTGAACATCAGGAGAGAAGGGGCTGATCTAATTTCATTGGAGAGGGAGTTCATAGACAAGGGGCCACCACTGAGAAGGTCCTTTCTCTTGATCCAACTAGTCCTGGCTGCGAAGGAGATGGGACTCAGAGCAGGACTTCTCCAGATGAGCTTAACCTCCTAGATGGTTCATAGAGGAAGATATCATTCCCTCTGATTATGTCACCTGGTGTGGTCCTCCCCTCTGCACCTTCTTCTTGATGACACTGCATAATACTTATCTGCATCATCATCATAATCATCATCATCATTTGGATCAGTTCCAGAGTAACTAACGTTCATGTACCTCTGCCATATCCCTTTTTTGTCTCTCATCCTCCCCCCCCCCCCATGGAAATAAAATAATAAAAAACAACTTTGCATTATAAATAATGTAACTGTACACATAGCTAATTGGATATTGTATACCCTACTGTGGCTCCATCTACACTGAAAATTTAATGTTGTTGGAAACTAACTTCAAACTGCAGCAGCCAGACAAGATTCCTACAAAGGCAGACAAAAATGTTCTTCATGTGCATCAGTGTTTCATGAATTGTGTAATGTCCTGCCTTTAAACTTGTTTTCTATATAATCATTTGCTAAACGAAACCATGTTCTTCAATACTGATTTAGAACTGCATTAAATGTTAAATGTATCTAGGGCCTGGGTATAGTTGAAAGCTAACTTGCTTATAAGTTTGCATTGTTGGAGAGTCTTAAAATATAATATAAATCAAAACAGCATCTCAGAATCAGGGATGGAGAAGCAGCAGTGACAAATGGAATTAAAACTTCATAATATTCAAGAAGGTTCTTTTCAAAAGTGAAGAAAGAAGAAATCTTGATTTTCAGCCATCTCACCTTCCTTTTATTAAAACAGGGCTTCCATATTTTTTTCCTGCCCATTACGTTATTTTTAGTTAAGACTTCATCATCATTTGTGGGTGTTTATGTGCCTTCAAGTCACCTGTCAACTTATAGCGTCCCCATGAGTTTCATAAGATTTTCTTAGACAAGGAATATTCAAAGGTGCCTTTGTCAGTTCCTTCCTCTGAAATATAACCCACAATAAAGCTATCTACAAAGCTTTTCAAGCCATACTTCTCACTGTTGCCTCAGCAGAAAGATGGTTTGCAAAGCTGTTGTTAATCAACACATACCTCTGGAACAATATAGCATAAAACCGACTTTCCGGATTAGCTGTACTTTCGACAGACAATAAACAAGGATATCAGCTGGATATTTCAGAAATCACTGGTGCATTTGTTCAGGTCCAAACAAGACAAAAACCTTTTTGCACTAGAGTGGAAAGTTTGGAAATGCTGAGCACCAGTCAGAAGAAGGTATATAATTGGAAACTGGTGCATCAAGGTTACTTTAGATGTAGGTGATCTATATGAAATCTAAAACTATTGGCATGGGCCCTGTTGCCGTGTCTCATCACACTGCAAGTCTAGCTTGGTTTCGATACATGACTAGGATGTCTCTGTAGCAAAACTCCAGCTAAATCTTTTCACAGATTTAGCTGACTAATGATCTATGGAAGTGTATGAAACCTTTGCTTCTCCAGTGTTTTTGGACACAAACCAGCCAGGCCAGTGGAAAGGAATTCTGGGAGTCAAAGTCTAAAACATCTGGAGAACAAATTGGCAAGACATAAACCAGTAGCCCTGTGTACAGTGAATCAAACTTCCAGATGGCTAGATGTAAAGATACCACAACTGCTTCACAATAGGAAGCATCACTATAAAGTTTTAAAAGACACTTTCAAGCAGCAATTAGCTGCCGTTATAGGACTGAGATCCCCAAGTAATTAGCTAATGTTGTACTTACATTTTAAATGTATCTATTTACAATCCCTGTTTCCTGGAAATATAAAGCCCATTTGAATTGGGGACCCTCTGTACAGTTCTAATGTGTATCCGACCTCTAGCTGGCTTGATATAAAGATACTACAAATGCTTTGTCATATGAAGCATCTTGAATATAAAGTTGGAAAAGTTACTCAAAAGTTAATTAGCTACCAATATAGGACTGAAACCACTACATGCACCATGATTGTTAAGTACTGATGCATTTCCATCAAAAATCTGTCATGTTTTTAAAAACATAATACCTTTTGCATGAGCATAATATAAACCAGCACTAGACCCATGTGCTATTTCTTACCTCTGAGTGAAGTGACATCCTTCTACTATAAAAATAAGATGAAATCGCAGTTGCACACTGCATGCAGACTGAAATTAACCCTAACTATTACATGCATAATAGAACTCAGTATGCAGTTTGACACCACTTTAACTGCCATAGCTCCATGTTATGGAGCCATCTCTGTCAAAATATGCTGGTGCCCCAACAAACTATAAATCCCAAGATTCTATAGCACTGAATAGTTAAAGTGGTATCAAACTACATTAATTCAACAGTATAAATGCCTCCTCGGTCATACATATTCGCAGAAAGGGTTTTTTTTTTTTCATGTCAGGAGCAACTTGAGAAACTGCAAGTCACTTCTGATGTGAGAGAATTGGCCATCTGCAATGACATTGCCCAGGGGATGCCTAGATGTTTTAATGTTTTACCATCCTTGTGGGAGACTTCTCTTATGTCCTTGAATAGGGAGCTGGAGCTGACAAAGGGAGGTGATCCGCACTCTCCCCGGATTTGAACCTCTGACCTGTTGGTCTTCAGTTCTGATGGCACAAGGGTTTAACCCATTGCACCACCAGTAATCAATTCTCCTCCTAGAAAAGGAATTGATTACAAGCAATTTGGTGTTTGTGACAAGTTACTTCCAGGCTCTGTACTTAGACAGAGATTTCTTCAGCAAAATCCCAAAGTTAGGGATATAACAAGTGAACAGAAAGTTTAAAGGGAAAGGCAGACTGTTTGTAATAAATAAGAAGTCAAGTGGTATGTAACAGAAAGAAGGTAAAAATCATAGGTGGAGTATTACATAGTGGGGGAAAGAAAAAAAAAAGACACAATGCAAAAAGCCCAGATAGAAAACGAGAGTAACTGAGGCAAAAGAAAATGAGTACGAATTTGGCTATAAGAAAAGATATCCAAATACAGTTTCAGGAAAGATGATCAAAACACAATAAATGGAAATATATTTTAGTCCTTCCAGATGTGGTAATAGGATTCTTACCTGTCTCTAAAAGAAGTTTCACAATCTGAAAATTGGAATGAGAAACACTATAGTGAAGTGCTGTATTGCCATTTCCATCCGCTAAATTTACAATTATATTTTGAAGCTGGGGATGAATTGCTTCAACTTCTCGGAGGTAAGCAGCAACTATTTCAGGGCTGGATGATTTTCTGCTTGAGATGCGGAACCACTCCTGGCTGATGGTGCTCAAAACATGCCTCTGAAAATGACAAACAGTCAAACAATGAGGCTTTTCTAGCAGTCTGGGATTCGAGGAAATGTACAGCAAATTAAAACAAAATGCAGTATGATCTCTTTATCCACAGACTGAACATTCATAACTACCCACAATTTGAAGGCATGCAACTATTAACTACTATTAGCAGCAGACCAGCAAACTATATTTTTTGCTGGTCTGGTAAAAAGGAAATTGGCCAACAGTCATGATCTTCCTAAGCAGAGTGAATTTCTTCCTTCTTGGTTCATTCCACATGCTATAGCCAGTATTGTGTTCAGTATTCATGAGATTGTAGGCTGGACCAAAGGTAGAGGTAAAGGCTTTGCCTTGACATTATTATTATTTAAAATTTTTATATCCTGATCTTCTCACCTCCGTAGAGGTACTCAGACCATTTAGTCATGTCTGACTCTGAGGGTGGTGGTGCTCATCTCCTTTTCCAAGCTGAAGAGCCAGCATTGTCCATGACTGCATGGGGCGCTGTTACCTTCTCACAGAAGCAGTACCTATTGATCTACTCACATTTGCATGTTTTTTAACTGCTAGGTTGGCAGAAGCTGGTGCTAACAAAGGGAGCTCACCCATCTGTGGATTCGAACCACTGACCTTCCTATCGGCAGCTTAGCATTTTAACCCTCTGCGCCACCAAAGCCCCACAAGTGACCAAATGTGACCACAAAAACCAAGACCAGGCAGAGCCCCAACTAAAAAGTTTGTGCAGCACTGCAGATCAACACAATGAGATATTATAGCTGTAATGTTTTCCTGGTCACAGAGAGAAGCAATTGCAGCAAAACCCTAAAGGATGCCCCAATTGTCAGTCTGAATGCACCCCACTACCAGCAGAGTGCTGCAGTTCTCATTCCCTAGCTCTTCTGTCTGTTCCCCCATCTGCAGCATCTATGAAGCAGCTTGTTTGGGATGTCACCTGGTTTAAGAAGTCAAAGTAGCTAGGATGACAGACCTTTGTCATTGTAGCTATGGTTATTGTAGCTATAACTTTATTCATCAATCTCAGTCAGACTGTAATTGATATTGATTTTGCAAGTAGCAGCTTTGAAATTAACCATAACATGCCTGTAAGCCATTAGTGTGATTTCAAAAATAACAACAGTATTCAAAGACAAAGTTGTGCAAATCTTATTTCAGCATAAGGATATATAAGAAAATTGCAGCTCCTTTCAGACTGACAAAAAGAATTTTCGAAGCATAAAGTTCAAGGATGAAGTGAAATGGAGTCCAGAAAGCTTATGCTAGAAAATTATTTGTCTTGGATATTCTCAGAGGTGTGACAGGATTCCTTTATTTCACAAATGCTTGTGTTTATATGACTTATTTAAAACAGAAAGTTCAAAGGAAGAAATTGTTAAGATGTTGTTTGAAAAATATCCTTACCAATAACTTGTCCTTTGTGTTTCTTATTTCTGGCATGTGTTTGCTTAAGATCTGACAACCTTTCAGAAAATCTGTGGAGGGTTTAAATCTGAAAATGAAAAAAATAATCTTTGTGGATTTCTTGTAAGAAATATTAAACTAGGTTAAATATTAAACTGGTATTAAAGAATCATTCTTCACGCATTCAATACAGGATGCAAAGCATAGGCAATACACATAGACAGTTTATACGTTAAGACTAACAGGTTGCAGACTTTCATATAATGTAAAAGTAGGCAATTTTTGATAGATCTAGACACCAGATGTGCCCGAAGATACACTGTGAATTGCACTCTCTCCCAAAAGATGTGGGGCTTTTGCACAATATTATTTCTATAGCCAGAACCTATTAGAAGTTGGTTTCTGGATCTCATGAAACATCAGAAAAATTATCAGACACATCTGCACATTAAGAGGACAATCATTTTTCCTAAGGCTTCTGGGATGTGTATTTTTTTTTTCTTTAAACAAAATTCCCTTTTCTCCAAATGAGAGCTATCTAGAAGCTGTCATAACAGGCTGGAAAGGTTGTATTCCCTGTGACTAAAAGCATGCTAGAAAGGCACTGGTTACAATGTAACTGAAAAGTTAAGTCTGTTTTGCAAGCTTTAAGACTACATAACTTCATATTGGATTGTAGCCATGGTTCTGGTGCACATGGCGGACAAGTCTTAGTTCTGAATGGGGCATGGCATACTGGTCATAGCCAGCACATGAAAGCTTTTCTTGCAGAGGAATCCTTTTGCCAGAGAATAAGTGGTCCAATGAGGAACTGTCTACAATGGCACAAGCCTTGACCACGATTGATATACCATACAATGCTTTTAGTTTATGGCCAAAATTTTGATCCAAAAATCAAATTTTTTCTCAACATATATTACTAGACATTTGTATGTCCATTTGGAGCCTTACTTACCTTTCTGCCTTGTGTGACTGCATGCTTCCTCTGAAGGTTTCCTCCAGTTCTTTTGTATCAGTGTCTTCATGCTTTGCACACTGAGAAGTTCCAGATGCATTTTCATCGCCTTCACCATCATCTTCCCTCCATCTATGCTCTTCACTGCCATATTTTCTCTCTGTCTCACTATCTGAATTCCCTTCAGAGGAGGTCTCTTCACAACTTGAATCTTCACTGGATGTTGTTTCATAACTGAGTGAGGACACCAGGCATTATTCAGTGTTCCTTTTGTCCAACAATTACAAAGTTAGAAGCAAAACTGGTAGGTTCAATATATACTACACATTTAAATTCCTGGCTAGCTCAAATCATGGTTATTTCATTTTTTAATTCCTTAGAATACGAAAAGAGATACTGAACTCTTATAAGAGTGAATATCTTAATGGCCGAGAGAGAGAGAGAGAGAGAGAGAGAGAGAGGATGTTCCAGGGAGTAATTGGGCTTCATTACTTTGGGAGTGGTGAATCTTATAGAAGCTATCCAGAGTAGCTCTTATGGGAGCTATCCACAGTGCTGATCCTATTTTGAAAACAAGGCTCAGCAATTTGGACAGCTGCTATAAAATTCAGTGTCGCTCCCATCAGACCCAATGGAATCATCACCCTGAAACAACACAACCACCCGCTACCTCTAGTTTGCTTACTATGACTACCAAAGATTCTTTGGAACTCATTCAGATTGTTTTTCAGTTCTATTTCTCTTACTGATTATTGTAAAGAGATGTCATAGTACAATGGCAGAGCACACAGGTTAAATAGAGAAAATCCCAAATTCAAGCCCTTCCATTTTTAATAGTACTGGGAAAGAAATCTGCTCTCGAGAGCTGCAGCCAGAAAGTGTAAATAGTACTGAACGAGGTGGACCACCTAAGCCAAACCTTTCTATATTCCACAACATGGAATACAAGCCTTCAAGTGACCAATGAAATATGTTTATAGACATGTTTAGATGGATAACTATTGCCACATCATTGACATCTGTCTTGCTGCAAAACACCAACACCAATACATCAATATGACTACATGACTCTACAGATTATATTATTTATACCCACGACATACATTTAGTGCCTTTATTTTAATTAGCAGCCAGTTAAGCAGTTTATAATTGAATGCAACCTTCTTTTGCTTTGGAAAACATGATCAATGATTCAGGGATCGATCCACTAACTTCCTGTGCTGATGGCTCCCCAGTGTCTTTGCCCCTTTAACCTCAGGCATGTTTGAAATCTATATTCTGCACGGTTCATTGGTCAAGCTACAATATTCAGCAGCCAGCCAGAGAAACCAGATAGGCTGCTTCTACACTGCCATATAAAATCTAGATTATTTGCTTTGAACTGGATTATATGGCAGTGTAGATTCATACAATCCAGTTAAAAACAGATAATATGGATTATCTGCTTTCATAATCTGGACTATATGGTAGTGTAGAAAGTGCCTCAGACATCTTTAAAGAGGACAGTTTTGAGCTTTTAGAAACTATGTCAGAGGTGATTCCATAGCTATTGTAACCCGAAGTATTTTCTTCAAATACAATTTCTGAAACTTTCTGCCATTTGGAACTGAAGTCTGTCTAGCAATATTGGTACAGTATTGTAAAAGTAAAATGGCAGATGAACCAATATGTCATCAGAGCACTTTGATGCCAGTAATGCTTGCATGATAAACCATTTTTAAGGATTAACTTCTGAAACATGTTATTTGGAGTATCTGTGCAGTCGACCCTCCATAGCCATGGATTCTGCACCCACAATTTCAACCAACAATGGGTCAAAAATATTCCAAAGATTCCAAAATCAAGTAAACCATGATTTTGCCATTTTATATTCATGTTGTCATTTTACTACATACACCCTTGTATATAACAGGACTTGAGCATCCACAAATTTTGGTATCCACAAGGTGGTAGTTGTCCTGGAAGCAAGACCAATGGCCCACTGTACATTTTTGGATAGTTTTTCTACTAGTTTATTGCCATATTTTTTTTTCACTTAGAAAAAAATCAATATAGTTTAAAATGACATAGAGATTAATTAATCAATCATTCTAATTTTGTGAATTAACTTTGTACATGAACAAAATGATTGTGCACATGTGTTTTATTTTTCATTTGCAGAAGGTGATTTTAAATTGATAGTAACAAGAATCGAGTTACCAGTTTATACTGCTTTATGCAGACATAAATGTTTACTTGTGTTTTTCCACCTCTCCTCTTTTTTAAAACATTGCTCTCATTATTCAAACAGTTGAAGCTTTAAAAAGAGAGATTTAAATGCAAGGTTAGTGAAAAAGAGACTACATTGTCTCCCAATAGCCAACCCAATTTTAAAAAGAAAGGCCCAAATCTTCTGTATAGAAGAAATCATGGTGTTATTACAATAGTGGGTTTAATGCAAGCTACTGTACACTTTAAATAAATCACAGCTATTTTCAACAATCCAAATATGATTTCAGAATCAAACTCATTTGAGTTTAAAACCAAGCAATAATTGAACAATTGAAAGAGGTTCTGTTTTATGTCTTCCCTGGGAAATGATCTAATTCACCATAAATAATTTGAACTACATACACAAACTCAGGATGTTATTCTTGTGATAATGGGAGAGTTCAGATAGAGGTTAAGCATCCCTTATCCAGAAATCCTAAATATTCCAATATCTGGAACTATTTAATTCACAAAATGATTGACAATATTGTATAACATTACTTTCAGTGCACATGAAACACAAATGAATGGTGTGTTTAGTCATGGATCTCATCTCCAAGATATCTCATTGTGTGTGTGTGTGTGTATATATAATATGCGCAAATACAGGTGTTCCAACATCTTTAAAAAATCTAAAATCCAAAACACTTCTGCTTCCAAGCATTTGAATAAGTGATACTCTACCTCTGCCAGGTTAAACTAAAATCCCCATTATGCACTGAAACCCAATGAATAGGGATAAACCCTTACAAATGATTTGGTTAGATACTTGCAGTAGGTAGCATCAGAATGAAGTTGTTTCTTGAGGATGTTGTGATCCCATGTCTTTTATTCATATACTACATCCATTCCCAACAAAGGTTTACCTAACATTCTACAGATATTAGCCATCCTGACTTCAGTTAAGCATGGCTATATTTTGGCCCAGTTCACAAGTAACAATAAACCATGGTTAAAAATAAACTATTGTTTAGTGTTACACACATTACTCTTATGACTCATGTATTCCACCTCCTCTTCACTGACATAGCTATGAGTGGAGATTTCTTCCGTGTTCAACACACCACAAATTTGTCATTATATTTAAATCTGCTCTTTGTGTTAACTGTGGCTTAACATTACAAGCCGAGATTATTGGTGTGAATTTTGAGTGTTTGAGGAAATCATAGTTAAAGATAACTAACGTTTGTGTGGGTTTATACATAATGACACAATGGCTAGCCTGAAAATGATACACTGGTTTGCTGAAAATGGGAGAAAATTCCATCCTCCTAACTGTCCTACTTTGGGAAAATAATAGTGAGGTTCGATTGAAATCACTTTCAAGGAGTAATGCCCATAAGTACTGTTTTGTTTAAAAGCACTGAACCCATCAGCAGAGAAAGAGAATGGGTTTTGCCTTCTGGTAGCCATATACACATATCCTATGTCTTCATATGGTTGCCTATTTATAAGCTGCCTTGAGTCCCCTCTGGGGTAGAGAAAGGCAGGGTAGAAATGCCATAAATAAATAAATAAATATGAGGTCAAAAGGTGAATGTGGCCAATAGCATTAGGTTTCATTTTTAAGTTGATTGTAAATGGCAGTAAAACTCACCAGTGTGCAATGTTAGAGTTATAGAGTCTTTCTGTCACTTCTCTGTGAGTTCACTAATGATGATAATAAGGTAAGTAATATGTTCATTTGAATTTGCTGATTGCAGAACAGAGAGACTCTTTGGCCTTCTAGATGCACTGACAGCAAGTCCATCAGCTCCACCAAGCATAGTAAATCATAAGAAACTGGGGTAAATGTAACCCAAAACAAATGGAGGGACATTGATTCCTAATCTCTTGGGTAGGAAACGATGAAGCAGATGATAAAGGAAGTAGATAGATGAAGTTAAGAAATCTAAAAACTTGTTTTTTTTTGCCATAGATTCCAAGACTGCCCCAGAAACTAGGGAGGTTAAATCTAAGAATCACAAACGTTTCCTTCACAGTAAATCCAACCAAAGTGAAATTTGTTCAATGCTGTGCCATACACAAATTTTCACATTGAGGTCCTGGAACTAAAGGGTTTAGGAACTGATGTCTTTAAAAACAGTTGTTTTTGAAAGAGAAAGTAAGAAAAGATCAATCTTCTATATACTGGGGTATCTGAAGAAATACACAGGAAAAGAATGTCAAATTGCAGATCAGATACAATGACTGCATGGTATGCGTGTCTGTGTTTAGCTGCCCATGCTTGTTCCAGAATCTATTATTCATCCATTGGAGAGGATGAGTAAACTCCTTTGTGAAATTTGTATGGATTTTGTGGTCTATATACCAAGCATTCAAGCCCATTGATAGTTGTTTAGTATTCTTCAATATTTCTATTAATTGCTTGTACCCTATTGCTGTCTAGCAGGCATTTAGAACAGTTTCACCAATATTGGCATGGGAATAAATGAGGCTATGTTTAATATGACAGTGTTTTCTTATCCTTTTTGACTTAGATATAATGGTAGCTTGATAAATGAAAAGCAGTTTTGTCTCTTTAATTGATGCTTACCCACCATTTACCCCAACAAACTGGAGGTTCTTTTTCGTGCCGTTACCTCCTGCATGGTAACCAGCCTCTTTCTTTTTCATAATAGATTTAAGACTTGTGCTTGGAGAGATTTCTAATGGAAATATTAGAAACACAGAATCAGCAAGAATGTTACAATAGTTTGTCTTACAGCAATGTCATCATATACTCTTTAAATGCTCAAAAGCAAAAACATGGATTTACTCCAGCATTTATGGTATGGTTGCAATTTACTCAAGTACTTCCGAATACTTACACAATTGTCAAATGGAAATGGTGGTGTAGTTTTGCCATATACTACGGCAGGTATGTTTTGCTCTCATTATATTTAATCATTTTTCTTGAGCAACCACACTATTATAATAATGTATGAATGGAAAGTAAGATTCCTCAGGTGGCAAATGTTGGAAGAGAAGCAATACTTTTCCCTTAAATATTTTTCTCTTGAACTAACAATAGTAATACCTGCTGGCCAGTTGCCTTACTTGCCACCTAGGCCACTCTCATACTGGCCAGTTATAGCACTGTGATTACACTTTAGCCACAGAGGTTGCATCCTATAGAATCTGAGGTCTATAGTTTGGCAAAGCACTTCTGAATGCCTCTCCCTAAATTGCACCTCTTAGGATTATATAGAATGTTTCCATATCAGATCAAGTTGACTACAGTACTATCACTCTGTAATGTGAACAGGCCCTTGATACCTTTTCCCTATGGATTAAGAAAATCCCTAGCTGAATAAACAGGCCAAGAGACTGCCAGCTGAAGCCACAGTGAAATGGTGGGAAACGCCATCTTTCTTTCACCTCTGGTAAGAAAATGTCTTAGGCCGATCTGGTTCAGCAGGAGAATGACACCAGTGTGAAATCTGGCATTTAAAACCTTAACAAATCCCACCAGAGCTGCTATCTACTAACAATATGCACCTGTTATATTACATATGTATCAGGAAGACATATTTTTTCTCTTTGTCCATGTGATTATTGCAATTACAATATGTTTTTCCAATTGAATCCTTGCAGATATATAACACTGGCCAATGCACATTTTGGTGACTCAAATATGAGCCCTATTTCTGGGTATATTTAATCTGCTGATTCCAAAAATGGCACCAGTTTCTCCCTATCAGCTTCAGTTTGTGACATATGCCATCTATTAGTCAACATCTGTTCACGGATAGAAAATCTTGATAACCATATCTAAGAAACTAGAGCTGATATGGTCTATCCAATGCAATTTTCTCAATCAGTGCTGCAAGTAACCCCAGGAACAGGCCTAATAACCAAGACACCAAGAATGTGGGTTTCTTTTTTTTGGGGGGGGGGCTGTGTAATTAGTGAAAGCATACATAAACACTGAGCAAACTCACCTTGATAAATATCACTGTAATTTCCTTACATTTTTTCCATTATTTGTACTATTGGCCAAAGTGTACTGAATTTAACTATAAAATGAGTGACCAAAAATAAGCCTGATCTGGTCTTGAAATCTGTCACTCAAATTTGAAATTTGATTCAAATTCCAAAATGTCAATCAGGTCTTTGTGAACCATTTCCCTTCCAATGCCATTTATACCCATTATGTTTCCATTTCCATTGTACATGGTATTTCTCATATAGTTTGACACTTGGGTTCCCAGAACAATGCCACTGAAGCTCTCTAGAAGAGAAAACTAGAAGAGAAAACTAACTGCTCAATAAACCACAAATTCCTTTTTATGGAGCCATGACAGTTAAAGTGGTATCACGTTTCTGTAACTTTCTAGTGTTGATTATAGCATTTTCTCCTCCTTCCCCTGTGTTTTCGTTTCCTCTAATAGTCAGTTAGGATTCTATGACCTTGAAGGACATCTAGTCCTCTCTTGGATTGTTTTAAGGCTTCCGCTTCCCAAGTGCTCTTTGTACTTCTGTGAATTTTGTTTTTCTACCTGGGCTGCCAATACTTCCTTCTTGCTATTTTAATTACCTAACTCACAACCTGAACAATGGGAATAAAATACAGTGGGGTCTCTGTATCTGTAATGTTCATCAACTGCAGTTTGTCACATCCCATATATTCAGTGGTAGCACCATGGACACAGACACGCTGACGTATGCACATTCATATCATCACCATTTAACAATGTGGGGTATGATCACCCATAATTTTTCATATCTGCACGGGTCCCAGAACTAAACCCGCATGGGCCCACCATAGTGAATTGGCAATGCTGGTCAGATGATTCCAAGAGTTGTCAGTCATGCAAAAATAATGTTTTGATTTGAAGGATGGAACAGACAAGTATTGTGTGGAGTCCTTAATGAGCTAGAAATGCAGGATGAAATTACTTGACATTGTGCAAATGATGGCGCAGGAGTTAACAAAAATATCTAAGATTTTTATTCGTTTTTTTTTGTTTTTGTTTTTCCTCATAATTCTCAGAAATATTAGGCTGAGAAATACCTTTTACTCAAGGGTTTCTGACACTGCCTACATTCATCTTATTCACCAATAATGTTCAGTTCAGCACAATAAGTACACTGCATTATGAACTATTATAGAGTAATAGGAAGTTTTCAAAATAAAAAACAGAAAATGGAAAATGGATGAATAATTTAGATGCAGGCAGTGTCAGAAACCTCGACTATAGGGTATTCCTCAATCTAAAATGGGAAACAGACAAAACCTCTTCTGTTATCTCAACAAAGTGGAGGTTAATGATTGTCATATTCAATGACATGTCTTAAAAGCAGGAATTGCAATGCAGAAAAATATTAACTGACCCTAACGTAATACAAGATGTGGCATAATCAGGTATACTCTATACTGTAACCATATTGGAATGGCATTACTAAGGCACTTCTACTATATCAGTTAGTTTATTATAACTAGTCAATGTCTATTTTTAATAAGAGTTTGGGTTTAAAAAACACACACAACAACAACAATTTCCAAAATCAGGGATTTTGGTAGATGTAGCCCAAAAAAATTGACTTTCCCAATTTCATATTTTGTGTAATGTGGCATGTATATTCCTGATTTCAAATGCCTAGGTGGAAATGACATCTGAATGAACAACTCCCAGACTCACTCTCTAAATGGACTTTTAATATGAACAACTGAACTGATCCAGATTGAAAAACAATTCTAATTAAACTGGGATTTCATGGTTTTAGTGATAGGTACAAAATTTTCTACTCAATGACAGTATTTCGGTTTTTACTCCTGTGATGACAGGTTGAAGTGTGAAATGACCAATTGGTCTCTGGCATTAAAACAGTATGTCATTTGTGATGTTACCTACAACTATTATGAAAAGAATCTCCCTACTATGAAGACGGACTGAATCATGAAATGTATGATGACAGATTAAAACTGGAAATAGGTAATGGAAATGGCACTTGAAAAAGGCTCGAAATGTTTTGCTTTTTGAAACAAAGGATGAGATGGCACTTTCATCTATTTCATATACAGAAGCCAACAGAAATCAAAGTTAAATCCTCAAATGGGATACAATTCTCCACCATTTCCAAGCAGAGCAGTTTAGAGGCCATGTCACACTAAACAACTGCATCATTATGATTACACTTTGACTGTCATGGTTGCATCCTGTGGTATAGGGAGAGGCTGTAGCTTGGTGGGGTGCTAGAGCTTTCTGGCTGAAAGTTCTAAATCTCCTTCTGTTAACTGCAAATCCCAGGGTCCTATGTAATGTTGTCATGGCAGTTATAGTGGAGAGAATTGTTGTGAAAGGGCACACACGCTCTGTCCTACAAGTGAGGGGGCTTAGGAGACATAATTGAAGCCATTAGTATCAGCCAAATGAGGCCGAATGTCACACATTTTGTTTTGTATCCCATGTTGCTACAGAACAATGGTTCTCAACCTGGGGGTCCCCAGATGTTTTGGCCTTCAACATCCAAAAATCCTAACAGCTGGTAAACTGGCTGGGATTTCTGGGAGTTGTAAGCCAAACCACCTGGGGACCCACAGGTCGAGAACCACTACTATAGAACCAAGTGAATGTCTCTATACATTCAATGGTATTACATGCTATGTCATGAGACATAACAAAGCATTTCACTGTATAAATAATTGTGTTTACTGAAGTATTAAACTTAGTCTCACTTATCAAAAGCATGGAAATGTCATACTATAATATGTTTCCATTTAAAATAATATTTTTATTTGGAAATGGCAAACATGTTTACTTCCTTCAAAAAATGTTCAAGTGCTGCTACTCCGAGACTAACACCAGTATTAAGGGAAAGGAAGCTGGCTTTGCCAATACTATTTACCCAACTGTTGATACTGTGTGTTGGAATTCTCTTTGTCTGTTGGTGTTTGTGTCGAGTAGGCTGAAAGTAGTAAATTCAAAGAGTTTACAAGTTGATTCTGGATGGAGCTGAGCTTTGAGGCAGGTTGTTTAATTGCACTGGCTAGTTCCGGATACCCATGTTCTAGACACATCCACTGCTCTTGTAAAAGGTCCTGGATTTTTTTTACATATTGGCTCACAGAAGGGTCTGCAGTGACTTTCTTTGGTTCTGAGTTATTTCCTTCCTCAGTTGAATCTTGCCTAATATCTCCTTGAAAATTATGTTCATTTCTTCCTGCAGTTGAGTCAGTGGTTCCAACATTCAAAGAGCTTTCTCCTCTACTGACATTATTGTATGCTTTCTTCTCACTTTTGTCATTAGCAGTGTGTTCATCAATCTTAAGCTCACTGTAGCTTAGTTCAAGAGTCGAACTGTCATTATCCTGTTTCATTTCTTTCTGTCTCTGAAAAGATGGACTGTCTTTTTCTTGAATACAAACAGGCACGTTTGTCATCTCATCAGGTACATGGAACAGCTTTCTATGCATTTCTTTGACCTGTAAATTCCTATTGTCAGCTTCACAGACATCACATCCTACTGATTCAATAGGCACAGTGAGGCTTACATTAACTCCTTTGTCATAAGCCTCCTTAGCTACCTTTTCATGTACAAGCTCAGTATTCACAGCAGCATCATGGTACTGGAGGACATTTTTGGCTGTGGTATATGATCTTCTTTCTTTAGTACTCTCCCCACAGAGTTTCTCTTCTAACTGAGCTTTGGAGCTTGCCAGCATTTCAATGCTCTTCTCTTTTGCTTTGATCTCCTTATCTTGCTCCTTCAAAACTACTCTGATCTGTGCAAGTTCTTCTGTTTTGTTGTTCAGCTGTTCCTCCAGAATGGCAATATGCTGCTTTAAGGCTATAATGTTGCTAGGTTCTTCAGAAGGCAAACAGTTGAGATTTGAGCTTTCTTCCATTTGTCTCATGCCAGGACTGGCAACTTCACCCTCCTCCAGTACTTCTGGAACAGTTTCACATATGCTGAGTTCTATTTCTTCAGGGATCTGGTTTTCAAACCTGTACTCTAAGGTCATGGAAGAGCTTGATTCACTTTGGACTGGAGGTGGACAGGTATTCATCTCCGCTGTATCACATTCTTCTTCTCCACTTTCTGCAACCACAAGCAATTCTTGAGATACAAATGGCTGACCTTCCCACGAAGCACTAGGATGCATTCTCTCCTTCACTACTTGCTTCTCATTGAGTCCAAACTGAACCTTTTCCCTCTCAGTATCTGGGACCGGCTTACTGATTTTCTGTTTCACAGTCCTCAAGCCATCAGGAGTTTTTAAGGAAACTCCTTTAGAGCTCTCAGATTCCAGTGATTCCTTTACAGGGCTAAAGCTGTTTTCTAAGCTTTTTGCATCACAAGACTGAAGAAATGTTAATGGAGTTTCTTCTTCTGAATTTTGGTTGGGTGGAAGTGTGGCAGGCATACTAGATGCTCTCAAAAGTTGAGGCCTCCCTCTACAGCTGCCAATCTCCTCTGCAAGCTTCACGGGGTCTTGTCTCGTTGTCTCTATTATGAGGGCCTTCCTTCTATAGCTTGGCTCATTTGAAATACCTGAAAAAGGTGTTGAGTCAGTAGGTGTGACTGGGTGGGTGCTTTCATCTGCACCTAAAGAAGCCTTTCTTTGTGTGAGGAAGTTCTTATTTCGGGCCCTGGATCCATTTTCTGGAAGACTGAAATTCCGAGGCAGTGTGCTAAATTTTGGGTACTTTGTCTTCCTGTGAATTTGAATTCTCTTTATGGTATTTCCTTTTTCAATGTCATCTACATATTTGAGGAAATCAAGATCTAAATGGAAGCCATAAGGTGTTTCAACAGAATATGGGCTAGGGGGTGGATCTTTATCCTCAGGCTTTGATGTCCAGTCATCTCCTGAAAAGAAAAGCATGGAAGAAAGGGGTAAACACAGAGAGAATGACAATCTTTAAAAACGACAATAAAAATCTTAATAAATCTTTTGTTGTTCTAGTCTAAACTTCTCAGATGTCCAGGGAAGCAAGCTTGGGCTTCTAGGTTCTTAGGTGGAAAAATGCAACATTCATGCATTGGTTGAGGCCTAAGCTACATGTATAGACTCAATTCTTCCATTTAAAAAAAACGAGCTTCAATAGGAAAAGCTCTTAGGGAACTATGCATTCCTGAGATGAGGCAACTATTGTAAGTGAATTATTGGAGTATTTATAGAACCCTCATTCTTTCTTTTTCCATTCGTGACTGGACTTATGTAAGGAATGGCTCAGAATAAACCAAAATATATTTTGCTGCCTGAAGCATAAAACAAGACAGCCTACCACCCTGGTTCCATATAAAGAGACTGAACAGATTTCTGGTTAAATATTGGCAATGGGGCAGCATTCACTCTCATACATGAGGGGAGCAGGGCATTTGACACACACAGCTCTGTTCTCCAAGTATGTGGAATGTCCAGGAAACTCAGAAGGAACAGTCAACCTGTAGCTGTTGTTGGTCACTGTCATTTGCTACTGACTGACTGACTGGCACAACCTGGGGATCACAACCAGACACAATGAAGACATCTGCCCTTGCGCTAGCTACTCTGCTGCTGAGTACACATGCCCAGTGTGGAACACATCTCACCATGTTAAAACAGTGGATGTGGCTCTTCACGAGACATGCCGCATTGTCACAGGATGTCTACGCCCTGCACCACCAGAGAAATTATACTGTTTAGCTGGTATTGCACCATCTGACATCTGCTGGAAAGTATCCTTCAACAATGAAAGAACCAAGGCAGTGCCATCTCTGGCCCATCCCCTGTTTGGATATCAGCCAGCACAGAAACACCTTAAATCAAGAAATAGTTTTCTAAGATCTACAGAGATACTCGCAGGAAAGCCTCAGCAAGCGAGAGTCCAAAAGTGGCAACCTAAAACCCAAAACCTCAAGTCATGGCTGATACAAGACTCCCCCCTGGGACACAGGAGATTGGGTGACTTGGAAGGCACTGAACAGACTGTGCTCTTGCACCACAAGATGCAGAGTCAACCTTAAGAAATGGAGTCCATTACAAAGTGGAGTCCATTACATGCGAGTGTGGAGAAGAGTAAACCACAGACCACCTATTACAATGCAGTCTGAGTCCTGCCACATGCACAATGGAGGATCTTCTTATTGCAACGCCAGAGGCACTCCAAGTGGGCAGCTACTGGTCAAAGGGCATTTAGTACAATGCCAAGTTTTTAAAACTTTGTTTGTGTTTTTAAATACATTACAACAGTACCCTCAGTTCGTTTTTGACATGATAAATAAAATTTGCTACCTGAGTTGCTTAATTCATCCTTCCTAGTGGCATATCCAGCCCTCTCCTGACAACTACCTAGGCTAAATGAAAGGCCAATCTCTCCCAAATATTTGTTCATCCATCACTGTTCAAGTCAGATCCAATGGCCATCACTTGAACACCCACCTGCCTCCATTAATGCATATGCCTGTAGGCACATATTAAAGAAGAGTTGGGAGAGACAGAGAGGTTTCATAGCTGTATGCAGATCTCTTGCTATATGCTACTATGTGGGGCACAGACTCTGCACAGCATAGTTCTAAACTGTCACAACAGAAACCCATTCTAAAACTTTTTACTCCCTGGTGGAAAGGGGACTATAATATAATTAATTACAGGAGTTGACTATATTACATTGAAGTGATACTATATGTTTCTCCTCCTGGTCTGTCCCAGGTTGGGATAGCAGAGAGCTACTGCTGAAAAGTCAGCCTACTTCAGTATGCATACATTTTTATTGAAATGCTGGCTGTAGCTCCAGGCATATCTGCAAGGCTGTTTCACTAAATCACTGTTCAGTTAGTCTCCATGGGCAAGGCAGAAAGGAGGGGGAAAAGAATAGCTGGCAATTTGTCACTTGCGACATCTCTGTAGAGTCAGCTTAGAGAGATATTAGTCCTAAAGAGGCATGCGAAAATGTATAATCTTGTTTTCTGGGACTGAATTCTATAATTGTACCACTGTAACTTGTGAAGAATTTGCTAAATCATCATTCTAATTAATAATTATGTCCATGACGTGTGGGGTTTTTTGCTTTAAGAGCTGTAAGATTTGAATACATAACTAAATTATTTGACAATGATACTCAGTTTTTCAGCATTAGCTTTCTAGCCACATCAAAGTGCTTCAAGTTTCGTACTAAATTAAAAACCTAGGGAGATTATTAGGAATACCTTGTGGGAGGGGCGAGGGGAGAAAAAAGTAGCTGTGTTGACTATTTAGCAACATCAAAAGCCAAAATATTAATTGGTGAAAACTTTATTAGACCAACCAGAAGATGCAAAGAAGATTACAGACCTCAAAAGATAATTCTTGGTAGATAGAAGTGATGATCTAGTTTATCTATCTATTTATTTATTTATTTATTTATTTATTTATTTATTTATTTATTTATTTATGCCTTGGGTATGTATATATAAGATTTAAGTTTGAAAAATTAACCCCAAATATATGTCACCCTTGGAAATGTTTAGAGGTCTCTCTAGGTTTTCAGGTATGATTTATGATATGTTTCTGGTCCAAGTATAGTAAAAAAAAAACAAGGTTCATGATTATCTATGGTTTCCAGTATCCACTCTGTGTGTGTGTGTATCCCCCATGCATACAGGGGTCATATTGTAGTCATAATGGGAGGAAAGCTCTTTTGGGGACCCGAGATTATAAATATCATAATCTTTAGTTGGGACTCAGACTACAAATCTATGTTATCTAGTTCTGCCTACTGTGATTGTCATTTGTTCTCTTCAGCAGAGGGATTTTCCACTCTCAGTGAAATATTCCTACCAAACATATGTTATACTGTCCAAATATGTGCAGTCTCCCAGGACAAATGGCAGAGGTTGAAAACCACTAAAAGATTGTCCCTAAACCATGAATACAACAAATTTGGAAAAGTACATTTAAAATTAGTTTAATTCCTCATCAGCACATTTAGTGACCATTATCCCCACAATTATAAATGATTCATTGTTTTTCCAATTCTTGGACATATGTAAGATAGTTACTTTTAAAAGAAATCTGCATGCTACAGCTAGCTAGCATGCTGTAAAAGCACATTTTCTTCCTTTCCACTTCACTGTGACCTCAGCATCTTCAGAACGAATGAAATGGTAGGACAAGGCATACTATGAGCCATGCTTGAATCATGCAATATTCCTTCGTCATTTCTTGAGGGCATACCATGTAAATAGAAATGTAATATAAAGTTATAAAACCACTACAAAGGAAGAAAAGTCAATTCCTCTGAAGTTAGGGGTATAACACTGTTCTACTCTTGTTATTGAGAAGAGAAAATCATTATTTGAAAGTTAGGTTTAAAATCTTTGCAAAACTTCTGCTCTACCACTGAGCTATGAACAAACGTATTAAACTGCCTGAATCGATGAACAGTGGAAGTCCTCCCTGTTTTCTGTTGCTTTTAATATTTTCCAGGAATCACACATTCTCTTTAAAGCCGTAATGTTCAGAATCTCTCTCCAGCAGCCATCAGTTCCCACTTTCACACAAATTAATTTAAATAGAAATTAAACATGTGACTTGAAAAATACTGAGAAAGTGTGGATTGTTCATACTGTTTCCAACAAATTATTTCTTTTTTTAAAAAAATCCGTCTGACAATGAAAAATGTCTCTTGGTGAAGATTAAATGTTATAGCCATACCATCTGTAGTTTCCATCGTGTATAAATCTGTTCAGTCCACAGATATCAAGCCATTAATGAAACATCACTGGAAGAAATGTTGTCCACCTTTGAAAAAAATAAGCAAAAGAAAAAAGTTAAACAATAGAAAACTGTGGCTATTTCAAGACCAAAGTGTAAAAATTTCAATGTTTTTTTTTTCTTTTCTGTATAAGTTATACACTTTACCCAAAAAAAATCTATTTTTAACACCACTGCTATTAGACAATTTCTCTCAGCAGGGAATGAAATTATTATCCTTCTAACCCTTATACAGTAAACATTTCTTGGCAAATTTTAAATCAATGTTTTCTCTTCTAACTGTAACAGTTCCTGCTATGAAGATATATATATCTATGTGAGATCATTTTTCATGACTAAGTAGAATTTGCAGTACTGGAAGAAATTAATGCCACAATCCTTTTGCTGATTTATGCTTGTATAAATCTGGGTTATTCCATTTGAAGTAATGAGGGTGGGGTTGTTGTGTAAGGAGGTATCCATCACCTCCTTTAGAAAGGAGGTGATGGATCCCAGCTGTATACTGGGATCCATACAGTTCCTGAGCTCAGTCCCACTGCCTTGAACCCAAACAGCTGTTGGCTGGCTGCAGGTTTGGATCTAGATGTCATCCACTTGCTGTGCATTCAAATAAAAGGGAGCAAACTTCACCTTCTCATATTTGCAATGGGAGCATGCTGGTAGACCTTTATATTCTACCAGTATCCAACAGGATTTTGGCCTTGTAATGAAATGTTGCAGGGTTGAGAAAGAAATTAATGCCCAGCAGATATATGTTGAATAGAAGCTGAGATTATTCTGTGTATCACAATGTTTCTGAAATACTCTGCGGCTCCTATAGTGTAAATATGGAACAAACTATGGACAAAACAGTTCATTAGGATCCTTCCATTGGGGTAAGAGTAGTCCAAAGTGGTATTCCATGGAACAGTACACATCCCTGAGCTATTGGTTGTTAGTCCCTGGTGAGTCTGAAAGAAGGAAATTAAAAAGAGTGGTCAATGAGCACAAATATGGCGTTTCTGGCAAATTCGGGAAACGGGGATTGTTTTCCCCTGCATCAAATTGCTCAAGAGTATCTGTTTTATGTAATAATTTCCCCTCAAAGTAAATCTTTACAATGTGTTGTCAACAGCATTCATAGACAAAATCACTGGGTTGCTGTGAGTTTTCCAGGCTGTATGGCCATGTTCCTGAAACATTCTCTCCTGACATTTCACCCACATCTATGGCAGGCATCCTCAGAGGTTGTGAGGTCTGTTGGGGTTTATATATCAGTGGAATGTCCCAGATCCAGGGTTTCTCCCAGCCTGGACATTCCACCAATATATAAACCCCACTTGTCCAGTTTCCAACAGACCTCACAACCTCTGAGGATGCCTGGCATAGATGTGTGCAAAACATCGGGAGAGAATGCTTCTGGAACATGGCCATACAGCCTGGAAAAATCACAGCAACCCAGTAAATCTTTACAGTTTTTTCTAGGGCACTGCATCCTTACTAGTTAGTTGCCATTATTTGCATAATTGCTCTTTGGTTTCCCAATTCTTCAAAGGAACTAGAGCTGCTAGTTTTTAGTAACACACTAAAATATTATATGTTGCTGACGTGTGATTTACAACACACTCTTCTCCCACCCATATCACTGTTGCCTAAATACAATAGAGAATAAAGCATGGCGCAATTCAGCACTTGAACCATCCATTTTTCTTCCTCCACCATTAGTATGGCTTCTTTTCCTAACATAACCATTAAAGTACATTTTAGGGTACTATTATATGACAAAATGATCTGAAATTATCCTTTGTAAAGTTACAATCTTAACCACACAGCAAATGTGCAGTAAAAATATTTGTTAAAACAAGCCTCAACATGAGATATTAAGCAATAAATGCCAGCACCAGTCACAAGTAGAATGAAACACTAAGTTGACACCAGGACTCCGCTTAATAAGTGTGCAGATGTTTAGAAGCTTGCAGATATATGACATAGTAGTTGGGGGTCTCTCGTCAGTGGGTTAATTAGTCTACTCCATAGTTTAAACTAAACTTTAAAAGAGCTTTACAAAATACTATTGAGGGAAAATGTTTCAGCACTTGGACAGTTCTTTCACATTTAGATAAAACCCCAGAGCTGATTCACTGTCCCACTGTCACTGTGTATGCATAATGCATCACCAGTGCATCAAATTACACTCATAATTCAATTTAATTATACCTTCGCTATTGGGAAGAAAGGAATTAATTAAAATGACCATAATCAGTCACTTATAAGCTCAGATAATCACTGTGATTTGTTGTTATGTGCCTCCTAGTCATTTCTGGCTTATGGTGACCCTATCATGAAGTTTTCTTGGCAAAAAAAGTTTGCATTTGTCTATCTCTGAGGCAAGGAAAGTGTAACTTGCCTGCGGTCATCCAGTGGGTTTCCATGGCTATGTACGGATTCAACCATGGTCTGAAAAGTCATAGTCCAATGTTCAAACCACCACAACATGCTAGCTCCCCAGAAAATCATAAGTATTCATACATTGTTTATATTATTTATAGATGAATATCCAACATTGATCGGACATTTTTTTTTATCTTTAAAATTTCATGGAACGTTCTATGAATCCACAGGTGTAACTGCTGATAACACCATTCCTATGTTGTCAGTTGAGATAGGACACAACCTGCTTTAGGGTCACTCTCTTGAATAACTTGCCATAACTGTTGATCAAATTCTTGAGAGTAACAACAGAATGTACATAATGAACCAAGGGCACAACAGGAATTGCTTCTCTATATGATGCAACTGACTATGAAAACCCTAATGCTGTACTGAAGACTGAACACAGATGACTGATTTGGAAATACATGTGTATTCAGATGCATGCAAAAATATCTTGACCAAACAGAATTTTTTTAGATGCAAGTCTAATCTGGTATCTGGGTAGATAGAGAGCAAGATGTAGCCAAAACAGATTACTTCTAGTTTCTTCAGATTGTAAGTGATAGGATCAGGGAGAGATGTTATGGTGGATTTCCTCTCTCTGGAGAAGCATATACAGCTGGCCCACCACCTTTCGATTATTCATGGATTTGATTAATGTTTTATCCCTAGGAATCTCTAGATCCTTCAGTGGAAGTTAAATATATTGTTGCACTCAAGGCCTAGAGATTCTTAGTGAAAACACTTTGACCATTTGTAAGTCCTCCAGTGGTAGTAATTGATAATAGAGAACCTTGTAGTTCCTAGAGAACTGGGTTTTTTTCAATCACAAAAGTAAGTATTTTTTTATTTATGTCTTCTCCATTTTTGCAGAGGTCCTGTACCTCTAGTCCCAATGAATATGGAGGGCCCACCATAGATCCTTCCCCATGGGGGCAGCTCTTCCAGTATTCAACCTTGCAATATAGACCATGTGCAGAACTAGTGGACATAAGACAGAGAGTAGACTCACTCCCCACATAGTAATGGACTCACAGCCTACCCTTGCCCTCTACCTACTCTTTTTGAAAAGTTGCTCCCAACTCCCCCAGTCAGCACAGCCAGTGGGAGCTACAGTCTAAAAGAAGGGGATTTTTCCAGTTCTTCTCCCAGCACAACAGCATACCTTAGTCAGCAGGGTCATTCACTCATCTGGATTGCATTTTTGGGAAGCTGGAAGAGTTGACATGACAAAGAGACAAGCTGACTACCGACATCCCAGCTGCCACCTTGATCCAGCCTTATGCAATTGAATATCCCTTATCCAGATATTCAAAATGCTCCAAGATTGTCCAAATGTGTTCCTGAGATAGTGGCTTTCACATGATTCAACGTCCACAAACTTTGTTTTCATGCACAAACTTATTAAAAAATACTTCATAAGGTGAAGGTGTCTAAGATGTGTATGAAATATAAATGAATTTTGTATTTAAACTGGTGCCCATTTCAAAGGTATCTCTTTATATAAATGGGGGAAATCCAAAATCCCAAATACTTCTGGTCCCAAACATTTCAGATAAGGGCTATTCAATCTGTATTTGCTTTGCCTTTTCCATAACACATAAATAAGCCTCTATCAGAGTCAATGATTACTGAGAAGATTTACAAAGGCTTCTGTGGTGTTCTCTCTTGCATAGCCGCTGTCTTTTCAGCAGGTCTATTAAAATCCATAAATATCCAACAGCAAAAAGAACCTGATGTGCACAGTTGCCAAAGAATAAGTGTATCAGTGGAAGAATACAACAAAAGCTCAAATGTTATCTCTAGATAAACGTCACCAGGGCACAAAGAGCATCTTTGCTTTTAATAGAAAAAAGCTTTCTATAAAATAAGAACACTGAAGTTAGAATCTTTCTTGTTACTTCCCCTTGTTGGAGATTTCTTTCTTCTTCGTTGTGAATGGGGTGGCAACGGTTAAACGTGCCTTGCGGCCCGATCCTTGTGGGGCGGCTCACCTTCCCGTGTGCTACGCAGACCCTCTCAAGCTCCCCTCCTTGAGGGAGGAAAGGTCTTTGGGGTCTTCGAGCTCACTTTGGGATTCGCGACACCTTTGCACTCAATCCGGCAAAGGGGGGAGCTTTCCAGCTCAACCTGTCCGCCACAACGCAGGTCCTCATCAGGAGCTAGCACTCAACGAGGCAGCCCCGTCGCCATGTCCACCAGAAGAACACATACAGACATGAATACAGTAAAGTATGGAGTACACATTTCCATTAGGGGGGCTTAGCCAAGGTCCAAGATATTTTATTTCCCATCCTTGTTTGCAATACTCTGTATGGTATATATTTGTACTGACTATAAAACTATTAGGTAAATTGAATTTAGCTGTTATATTAGGATCATTGATTTTAACACCATGCTAACCTATAGCAATCTCTGTGTACATTGACTCAGAATAAAGAATGACACTAACTCTAAAGCAAATTCACTTCAGTATCCAATAAGGCTGCAATCCTATGTCTACTTACTTGGGAGTAAGACATGTTAAATGCAGTGGAATTTACTGCTGAAATTGCATTGTTCCTTCTGAGTAACATGGAACAACTGTCGGTAATTGTGAGAAATGAGCTTTGGAT